TAAAAAGAAGTCAAATGGACTCAGATCAGGTTATCTATCAGGTTATTCCACTGTTTCCTTTCTTTCTATCCACCGATGTGGAAAGGTTCTGTTTAAAAACTCGCGCACAGCACGCGCCTAATGTGGCGGTGCGTCTTCCTGTTGAAACCAGATTTTTTGATCTAAATCATTGGCTATTTGAATACCAAGAAAGCTGGGTCAAATCAGGAATTAATGTATTTTGTAGGAAATCCAGTTACAATGCTCCTATTATATTTTGTTTAAAAAAATATGAACCAATAATTGTATTTCTCACAATACCAGCCTATACGTTGATTTTTTGTGGTCCATGCGTATGGTATTTTTGCATCTAGCGTGGATTTTCATCTAATCAATAACGGCTATTTTTCCTCTTAAAATGCCCATCTAACTAGAACGTTTCCTCGTTAAATTATTTCTATTATTTTGGTCCATCATTCTTTCAGAATTCAATTCTTATGCCAAAGAAGTCTTCAGACAATTCATGAACGAGACATACTTCATAAAGATGTAATTTTACTTTTTTAAAAATGTTCGATACTAAATCCCTAGATAATCCCCGCACTGTACATTGTGCATTTTCTATTGCCCACAAAATTATATCTTGTTAATTAATAAAATGCATACCTCTTGTTGAGCTCGCATTCTATCGCCAACAACAAGCAATGATCATTAATATTTCAATCATCTCATTTTCAGTTAAATGAATTTTTACAAAACAGGTTGTAAAATATGATATTTATGATAAATTAGAATAGATAGATTACACGTATACCTTCTTCAAAGCGTTAACAATACATTTTTTCTCCGACTGATATTAAATATCACTTCTAGTGACATTTCTCGATCAAAGAAGTAACACTTTTACTGCCTAGGCATTAAAAATCATTTTTACTGTCTAGGCATTAAAAACTTCTTTTCTCTCTTGAGGTCTTGCTATACATGAGCATTCGCCCAAAAAATAAGTTACATAAATATACTTGTATAAAAATTGAAGGCATACTATTAGAATAAATATTGAAAATGCGTGAGTTATATCCGTTATACAGGTTTTCAATTTAGTTCCACTTTTTTGAACACACTTTATAAACCGAGGCATAAACAATTTGAGAAAAAAAATTATATGTTTCAAACGGCAGAGAAACAGATTTACTCACTTGGCTAGTTTCATTGTCTCAGCTTCGCCTCGGCAAAGTAATGCTAGCCTCGGTAAAAATACTTTCAAACAATAAATGGCATAGTCAAGGGACGATGAGTCAACACACTAGGATAGTTCGCCCGGTATATTAGATTATTATTAAAAAAACAGTAAATTAAATTAAAAAATCGACTTGTTTTAGGAATTTTTAATAATATTGTTTATTTAGCTAATATAATGAATGTATGCTAAAATCCGACAACCGGGGGTTGATAATTAGTTAAAATAATTCTTATATATTACATATTATATTCAAATTTTTATTTCGAATTCAAACAACATCCCAGCGTATCCCGCCTCGTAGGCGCCGTTTAATTACTTCTGGGAAAAGAAATCGACGCGTAGACTGTAACGGCCGCTAGCTAGAAGACCAGATGTAAACCGATAGGGTTATATTCAGGAATTAATAAATGGCCTTATAGTCTTTATACACCGAATTCACAGTCGTTCTCTTTCCAATACATTTGCATATATGGGAAATTTAAGTATAAATACCAGGGTTTTTGTGGGCTGGGGGATTATTAGCTATTTCTTCTTCACCTAGTCAAGTTAACAAAAAATGCAAATATCCACGTTACCGCCACGGTGACTCCTTTTTCTTTATATTCTTCAAATATAATTAAAAAGAGATATCACTACCCTTACGGTGTCCGCGCTTTTGTTATATTTTGAGAACAGAAATAAAAGATATCGACTAGGTAGAGAAATTAGTTTCTATAAACGACAGCTTCTGCATAAATATCCTTGTCCTTGTCCTTAGGATGACCACCTTTTTCTTATATTTTATAAATAAGTAAAAGGAGATATATAGTCAGGTTGACCAAGCAGATACACGTTGAATAGAACCAGATTACGCTCCTAGAACTGTTTTGTAAGGTTGTATCTACCGAGCGACTAAAATATTGGCGTAACTGATACTGGTGATACCACGCTAGTCTAGTTAAACGCCAGATATTTTGATGTTTTGTCATAAATATTAATTATTGTAAAGTCGGTCAACACTCTCAAGTAATAAATTAAGTCATTTAGATTTATGGCCAAAGGGCCGAATTGTAAAGTTTTGGTTGTCTGTAAAGAGTACCTGCCCCTTCAGTAAAGAGGAAACGCACTTTCGGTTTTACTTTTAAATGGCAAACAGATGTAGATTGGTAGGATAAAAAGCCTTGATTTGTATATATTTTATAGTTAGATTGAGGTTAAAAAATATGTGTTCTGTCGTTCTTTGTAAAACAAAATTGGGTAGACAAATGAGTCATTTTAGCCGTAAGGAGTGTTAGTTTTGTATATTGATTTTTCGGGAAAAAGAAGATATGTACAGCGGCGGGTAGAATCATGAATATTAAGGAGGGTCATATTTATTTGTACATATCCACATATCTTTAGCGGGACATTGCGCGGAAGTAGTCAGTATGTTTGTTATTTATTTAGAATAAATAGGTGAAATTGTGTTTGTGGACTAGCTAACGTATCCTCAGAACCGTGATTAATAACAATGATTTGTCAATCGACAGAGCAAAAGAGCATCGCGCCGAAAAAGAGCCTTAGGCCACCATAGACCGCCAGGGACCTTAATAGTAAGGGCCTAAAAATGGTATTTCCCTTGCGGCTATGTAAATTAAAGCCTGATAGAGGCTTGGATGGATCTCTACTGAGATACCCCAAAAGTGGGCCTGACGGGCATCCCCCTTTATGTCAGGTGTTCTCCGATCTACCGTTCAGTGTTTTCCATACAGGACTGAGTATGTCAGTACATTACGGCATTGGAATATTAGGGAGGTAAATCTAAACTCCGGTTTTTACATATATAAGAAATATTATTATTACGGCACATAATCTAAATGTCCGGCTGTACAAAAGAAAAGATGTTAAATAAACAGTATTCCAAATTAATCTCTGTGTTTACTTTGTTCTTCTTCCATTACAGCTACATTAAACTCTAATCGTAATTCTGGGAGATTTAACATCACTTCGTGGGGATCCACTAGACGAAATTTAGGCCAAGGTTAAGGGTATTTGGAGAACTAGGTTAGGGCCCGGTTTGTCAAGTTACAATGCATTACCTTATAGAATGTTGTATTGGCGTCTCTTTTAATATTTTGATGGGAACATGAAATAGGGCTGCTCAAAGAGTAATTGTGACGGTGAAATAAGTTTGACAGCTGCTTACAAAAAATTGAAACTTTAGGGATGCGATATCGCATCGACTTATGTTGGGAATAGGATGTTAATACACTGCAACCTAAAAGATCTATTGTGCTCCCTTCTGTCGCTAATACACCAAGGAAATACCGCGATGCCTATAACGACCTTTCCAATCCTATCTTCTCAAAGAAGTGCAGAATTTGGAGTGACTAAGTTAGGTAGATCGCGCCCTCGTTGGTATGCTGCCCTTGGATTCTGGAGTGTTACGCATTCAGTCAGAATGCGAAAGAAAGTTTTGTCCTCAAAGTATCTGCACTCACTATCTTCTACTATTCACAATTTACTGTGGTGTTCTTTAGGTCGGAAATGCCCAGTAAGGAACGGTATTTTAATCACCTAGCTTATTAAGTTTTTCTATGCATTTCCAGACCATTTTTGAGCTGATTACATGAGAACTCAGAGCTTTGATGGCTGCTGGCTATCGGACATAACGATAATCTCCTGTCTGCGATAGTTTTTCTCGATAGATACACTTCTCAGAGGCGTGAATTTCCGCCTGGAAGATGCTTGGGTATTTTGCCAAGCTATCAGAGTGCCTGGTTCTAGACCTATACACTCCTATTGCAGTTCCTTCTGTGGTTTTGAAACCATCCGTATACCAGTATGCACGCAAGCACGATATATTCTTGGCTCCATTCTTTCTTGCAGCCCAGCTCTGTGGTTTTGAAGTTTTTCACAAAACTGTACTTCTTCCCCATTTCATCCTGGGGCATATTCCAAGTATTTTCGTTCCTGAAGATCGGATCGACTTTATGGTAATCATTTTCACTCGTGTGGTAGGTTTCTGTCAGAATATTTTCCTATCAGCATACAAAGTGTTAAAAAAAGTCGAGACAAAAATGAAATTAGGCTCCTACTGTTAATATTTACATTTTAATTTTAAGATATCTAATGATCTAATTACTGCTGTGAGAATTAAATAACACTTTGGAAACAATAACAATACCAACTTAATAATTGTTATTTAATTATCAGATAAGTAACAACATTTATTTTTAAACGTTTAATTATCATTTAGATAATTTTGTAGCTATTAACTAGTTTATTGTATAGATCTTCATCTTTGTTATGTCAATCAATCTGGAAATATTTCATCAAACTTCTTTTGGGAAAGTAGGTATACTTACAGGGTGTTTTTAAATATGTTAATATTGAAGGAGGTAATTCCTTATCCTATTTTAGAATTTAAACCACAAACAAAACTACCAATTTTAATAAAAATCATCAAAAGAGTATTTGGGATATTAGAAAAAACCGATTTTGCTCTCCTGCACTATGGAGTATTAAACGTACTAGTCTGCATAGAATACGACACTAATGACCTATGTTGTTGAAGCCGAAGACAACAATAAAAAAAAAATAGAGCAAGGGATTGGACGCATGAGTCTCGGCACAATTGTTTTTATTTTTATTATACATACCTATGTTTAATTTTATTTTCATTAATATTCATCAAGTTTTAGTGAAAGAAAAATGTCAATGGACGTTAAATCTCTGTTTCAATGGAACCACTTTTCCAAAATTTTATTTGATTTTTTTTTCTAAAAATAAAGTCGTTAATTTACTCTTACTAAACTTATAGCAATATGAAACTGGACCCATAGCAAGGCATTTGAGTATTGGAGTACAAGAACAGGATCAATACAGACACACTGTTAATATCGAAGAATGTGCTGACGAAGAAGAGGCTTGGGAGAGATTCAAGGTAAGCAAGCAGTACATAAAATATATATTGTTTTCTTTTATGGTAACTCAGCGTCCAGATAATGAAAACGCGAGAAAAGCTTTTTCTGAAACTAGTCCTTTTCTCTCCTACTTTTCGAGTACTTACGTTGATATAAAATTTGAGTTTTATATCCAAGCAAGTTTTTAAAAGTGTATAACCCAATTAAAAAATACCTTAATGTAGTGCCTTATAGTAACTTATTATTTTTGATTCCAGGAAATGTTCGATAGACATTACTCCACCTTAGACGAAGAAAACTTCCGCAAAGACATCTTCTTGGCCACCCTTAGAGGTGTCAGAGAGCACAACGAACGCTACAAGAACCATGAAGTATCGTACAGCCAAGGTATCAATCAATTTTCCGATATGACTCAACAAGAATTACAAACTGGAACTGGAAGTAGACCCTTAGGGAGGCCATTAGAACATATACCTGAATATCAACAACATCGTTATGTTAATATCGAAGACATTTTAGATGACGATGAGGCTTGGGAAATGTTCAAGGTAATGATGCAGTACATATAAAATAATTTTTTTATTTTTAAATATGTTATTTGTTCCTTTCAAGCAAAAAATGTCCTACACTTACCTGCCAATTTTTTCCCATATTTAATAATGTCTTTATACCTGATTATGTTCTTATATAAATACGTAATTTTCTGAATTATGTCTTTATATCTATTGTATCTTTATACTAATAGTCGAAGCAATGAAGCAAAAAGTTCCTGGGTTTTTCCATGCAAGTCAGATCGGAATGCGGTTTTTTGCATTCGCTTGCAAAAATTATTTATATCATTCCCGGTAATTTCCGGGTCATACAAACCGATAATTGCATTGCTGCAGCCAAAAATGAATTCAAAAAATGCATTATTTGAGAGGCATCTTGAATGATTTCAAAACTTGTTAAATAAGTGTCACAACTAGCCCGATCTGGGTTTTTGGGAGTTTTCAGGGTCGCTGATCACGATTATGATGTCTAAATTCACCCACAGCCGACCTAGAGCTCAGGAACGTCGACGAACGTCATCTTCGTGGGACCCAAAGTTCACACGGGGAAGGAGGGCAACTAGGCGATCGGTATTTTTTTGGGTCGCTGAATCCAAATATGGCATCGGCGATTACCCCCGAACACCTGGTGCGCCCAAAACTCGACCTGGACGTCATCTCCGAGAATGTTCCTCACAATATCGACAACAACAACCCGAAAATGATTGAGCGGAGTTTTTTTGGGGCGCTGAATCTAAATTTCACGTCGAAAACGACCCCCTGAACACCTGGTCCACCGGAACTTGGCCCTGAACGTCATCTCCGAGGGGTTTCCAGACACAATTGAAAAAGACGAACCGAAAATCGTTCCGGGGATTTTTTGGCGCGCTGAATCCGAATTTCACGCGGAAAACGACCCCCCGAACACTTGGTGCGCCCTAACTTGGCCCTGAACGTCTTTACCGAGGTTTTCCAGACCCAAGACGAACCGAAAATCGTTAAAGGGGGGGGGGGGGGGTTGAGTCGCTGAATTCAAATATGGCATCGGCGAACACCGCATGGACACCTGGTGCGTCTGAACCTAGGTATCTTTGAGGCGTCAATACTGCAATAGCTGTGTGCAATTGTTGATTCTAGATTACGTGAGGAGGAAAGAAAGAGAATGAATAGAAACGCAATATTTTTGTAATTTACGGTAAAACAATTTTTATTGGCCTCAAATCGAATACAATGAACCTGTAAGTTTGTCATTCCTTAATTAATTAATAACTCAAATGTGTCTGGTCATTTTCTTCGTCATCGACTGATAAATTCATACGGGGAACATCTGCCTCATCTGAGGCCTCTGTCTCTGGCACATTAACGTTTTCGTCTGAATATCTTTCAGTGTTAAGGCAAGTTGAACCTTCATAAATTTTACAGGCAAGATTGCAAGGTAGGCCGTGCTTCCTGCAACTACAGGTGTTCAGATTACAATCTCCTTTGCATCCACAGAATATTAGTTCCATAATATTCTTTTTCAATTGGGTCTGGAAAACCTCGGTAAAGAAGTTCAGGGCCAGGTTAGGGCGCACCAAGTGTTCGGGGGGTCGTTTTCCACGTGAAATTCGGATTCGGCGCCCCAAAAAACCCCTCGGAACGATTTTCGGTTCGTCTTTTTCAATTGTGTCTGGAAACCCCTCGGGGATGACGTTCAGGGCCAAGTATCGGTGCACCAGGTATTCAGGGGGTAATTTTCGACGTGAAATTTAGATTCAGCGCCCCAAAAAACTCCGCTCAATCATTTTCGGGTTGTTCTTGTCGATATTGTGAGGAAAATTCTCGAAGATGACGTCCAGGTCGAGGTTTGGGCGCACCAGGTGTCCGGGGGTATTCGCCGATACCATATTTGGATTCAGCGACCCAAAAAAACATCGACCGCCTAATTGCCCTCCTTCCCCGCGTGAATTTTTGGAGAGTCCCACGAAGATGACGTTCGTCGACGTTCCTGAGCTCCAGGTCGGTTGTGGGTAAATTTAGACATCATAATCGTGATCAGGGACCTCGAAAACCCCCGAGCACCCGATCTGGGCTAGTTCTGACACTTATTTAACAATTTTTGAAATCATCCAAGAGGCCTCTCAAATAATGCATTTTTGGCTGCAGCAATGCAATTTTTGCAAGCGAATTCAAAAAACCGCATTCCGATCCGACTTTCACGGAAAACCCCAGGAACTTTGGCCTTTTTAGTGCTTCATTGCTTCGACTATAAACTGTGTCTCTTGTACTCAATCAACTACTGTTTCCCATGAAGCAATTTATAGTTTTTATACTTTAAGCTAATCTCATTTTAGTCTTGTGTATTTTAATTTAATTTGTATTTTATTGTATCAGTTCTTGTAGCAGTTTAAATACTACTTCTGTAGTCCTTTGTGTTTATTCCTATTGTTACTTTTTGTTTTTATAATTTTTTATTTGTGTACACTGAGATGAATACACATATATACTTTTTGGTTGCAGAGAAAGTTCAACAGACATTACCTTACCCCAGAAGAAGAATACTTCCACAGAGACATATTCATCATCGCCCTTAGACGAATCAGAGAACACAACCAAAGGTACAAGAACCAAGAAGTAACGTACCGCCTAAGTATCGATCAATTTTGCGATTTGTCCCAAGAAGAAATGAGCTCCACAATGAGACAATACGGAACTAGACCCATACAGAGGCATTACGGAACTGAAGATATATACACTGTTAATATCGAAGAAATTGAGAACGACGATGAGGCTTGGGAGATTTTTAAGGTAAGAATGTAGTACATATAAAATGGTTGGTCGTATAAAAATATATTTCTATTTTTCGGAACCGAACAATTTTTATATTTATCTTTATATCATAGAAACGCAAACTTGAAACTTTCAGATATTCTTTACATCACAAGTTAGCAGAATAAAATTTCTTCAAATTCAGCTCATTATCTATGTAACTTCTTGCTTGCTGACAGGGCATTTCACCGCTAGATCGATTGCAACAAAATATTTTCATCTTCTACAGGGTAAGAATTAACGATACATTTATATAGCCTTCTGCAAATGTGTACTAAAAAGTTTAACTATACTCGGACAAAATATTGAAGAAGGTGATTCCTCCCTGTTCACGTACAACAATAATACTATACCAGAACATAATGAATGGAATCACGCGCTTAAAACTGCAGAAGTTATCGGTATCGCTAGTCATAAATGCATGTTTATTGCTAAAATGAATTACGACAGTGGCGTATAAAAACTATTGGCAAATTAAATGCGGTAATAGTAAATAATATTATATGAAAGTAGGTTGGTTATCTATTTTTGTAGTAATAATCATTTATGTTTATAATTTTGGTTTGTTTATTGTTAAAATATGTAAATATTATGCCAGTGGCGTAGAAAAACTATTGGAAAATTAAATGAGGTATTAAACTAGAACAAAATATTAAAGAAGGTGCGCCTTAAAACTGCAAAAGGTATCATTATCATATCAAAATGCACTCTTCCAGTGTCGCAGAAATACTATATTGACAAATAAATGAATATTTGTGAATATTACTAGATGAAAGTAGGTTGGTTATCTATTTTTGTTATAATAATTCATCTATGTTCATAATTGTATTTTGTTTATTATAAAAATATGTAAATTAAGCTTGGTATCACTTACTTGAATTCTAAATCTATGAAGTTTCGTAATCCATTGAATCTGCAGAACTGTCACTGGAATCGTCTTTATCGTCGGAACTTAAAGTTACGACTAAAGGTTCAACTACCGTTTCGATCATACCGTCCAAGCGCCACATATTATTTTCTTCTTTAATTACATGGGAAATCGCATTCTGCCAATCTTCAGGTTTTATACGTTCTATATCGGTTTTTAATAAACTTTGAACGTCGGCTATTTTAAAAGTTTAATTTTCTCGAGCTACAACCCTTTCGCTTGCGCCCAAATTAGTTCAATAAGATTGAATTCGCAGTGATAAGGGAGAAGTCTTAGTACCGTAATACCACGATTGTGAGCCATTGTGTCGACAACATATTAAATATATTTTAGGCGGTGTTCCTTTATTAGGTCCATTAATTCCACTTTAAGCATCTCCTCAGTAAATATTATTGCTTTATCCCGCAGCCAGGTTTGCATATCAGATTTCCTACTGGACATTATCGGGATGTGTTCAACTCGTCGACTGTGATAAGAAGCGTTATCTAGTACAATAACTGAATTTCGTTCTACACGCTGTAATACTTTAGTAAACCATTTTTCAAAGCATTCCGCATTCATGTCCTCGTGGTAGTCTCCTGTTTTTTACCAAAAATCCAACGTCACTTCCGATATGGGTAACAATTAGGCGCTGTCCTTTACCTGATGGTGCTTTCAAAGCTGTTGATAATCCCTCTATAAAAACTTGGCGATGACTAGTTACAGAAGTGTCTTGCCATATCTTAGAAACCGTGTGTCCAGCATTCACCCACGTTTCATCGAGATAGTATCTTTTTTTAGCGGCTCTAAACTCTTTAATATTTCGTAAATAACGCCGTCGCCAGGACACTATAGCTGACCTCTCAATTAAAATTGATTTCCTACACCGTTTGACAAAACGAAATTTTAGGCCCCATAAAATTTTTCGTAAAGTTTTACGGCTCATTAATGGAATTTCTTCGTTTTCTCTTAATTTCGTAAGAACAATTTTAAGTGTTAGGGCTTTGTTTTAGAAAAAAAAAGAATGTACACTTCTTCGAATGATTTGTTTTTGGTTAACGTCCAATTTCAACAATTTTCGACCACGGGTATGCGTTTTAGGGGCTTCTAAGGAGCCTTTTTTTTTGTCTTTTCTTGTACAATACGTTCAATTGTTGAAACAGATACTCCAGTTAAAAAGAAAAAACTGCGGTTTACAGCTTCATTTGTAGGAAATGTCTGTTTCAGCCCATCATACACTCTCTATATAATGTTCTTTTCATCCTTTAATAAGGGCTTTCGCCGACGTAATTGGATGATGATATAAAATTTGAGTTTCATATCCGAGCCAGATTTAAAAAGTATATGAGCGGAGTATAGTTTTGTGTGATTAATACAATATTTTTGTTACAGAAAAAGTTCGACAGACATTACTCTACCTTCGACGAAGAAAACTACCGCAGAGACATCTTCTTGGCGACCCTTAGAAGTGTCAGAGAACACAACGAATGGTACAAGAACAAACAAGTATCGTACAGCCAATGTATCAATGAATTTTCTGATTTGACCCAAGACGAATTCCAAAATGGCTCCACAATGAGTCATTATGGAACTAGACACGTATATAAGGAATTGAGCAGAGACAGAAGCGATCAGCTGGACCTCACATTGGATTCTTAGTCTGAAAACACCTCGACTGGACCAGCATACCAGCAGGAAAAATCATACATAATAAAATAGTTTGTTAAGAGTCCCATGCATGTTCAAATAGTTAAGTATCTACAAAAATATAGTACATGAAAAATAAAAAAATAAATAAATAAACAATTTTATAATGGAAGCCACCTGAAATTGAGAGAAAATAGCGTTTTATGATACAAGTTTTCATTTTGTGCGGAACAGATATCGTCGAATTGAACAACATTACGAACAAAATAAAATCACTTGTAACCGATATCTCATATAATATTATTTATCTAAGTAAGGACCGATTCCACCGTTGTGTTAAACGAAGTTTAAAATGACATTTTTACATTAACAATGTCATTTTAATCTCCGTTTAACCAATGAACTGGAGTGGGGTAGAATGCTTGTCAATAGGCTTGAGATGCGAACGAAAGAACCTATAAGGTTCTTTCATTCGTCTCACTGGTGTAGGAATGAACTACACAAACGCACACCATACGTTTCGGTTGGACCGGTGTAAAATCCACTATACCTTCCTGTTGGCGATGTGGTGTCCACTGGTGGATATGTTCTCCACCAGCTATTTAGTAGGAGTGAATTACACTAGACATGTGTATCAGGAACAAAAGGAGGAAGTAAACTAGGGGTGAGATTACAAAACGTCTGCAACTTTGCAGACCTACAAATATGGCGGCAACTTTGCAGATCTGCAAATATGGCGGACTTACAGATGCAAGTATCAAGTTTTCTTATTCCAAAAAATATTTGCAAATTTGCAATAATTATTCTGGTTTATTACCCCCAACAACACTAAACCCAAATCCATTAGTATGTTTAAAAACTCGATAATCTGACACCACGAACTGTATTCTGATCAAAAGGAATAGAAGACCTTATGCTTATTAAAATAAAAGTAAAAATTGACAATCTGCAAGTTTGTAGGATGTTCTAACCTCCTGCAAAGCTACAAATGATTTATAGACGCAAAAAGTGATAACACGTTTCTGTAATACCTACCATGTTTCTCTTTTGCAACTGCAACTGATATTTGCAGATGTAAGTTCAAAGTTGCCGCCATATTTGTAGATCTGCAAAGTTGCAGACGTTCTGTCATCTCACCCTAGGTAAATAAGGTAGTGTAACTGGTGTAATTTATTTTTTTGGTTTATTTTTCCATAAATGGTCTAATATGTATCATTATTATTTAGCAGTTTAATTATCACACGAAATACAAAGAATTAATGTTTAATTTAATAAACAATTATTGAATAAGCAGATATTATTCTTTGATCTGTGTCAGGGGTCGGGGGAGCGATGTTTGACCTAGATTCTATTTTTTTATCACATGAGCCCTCAAATTGGATACTATCGAATAACTTTTTTGGCGTTCGCCACAAATCACCTATGTCATTTTTAATGAGAGATGTGCAACTGGGTCAATGAAATTGAACCTTCTTAAAAGTTATAAGACCATTAAAACGCAACACTCAATACGTCAAGCGTCATACGGGTTGCATATACACCGTAGTGTAATTTACACTGGGTGGACACTGCACCAACATCGAACGAAAGAACCTGTATATGTCAATTCCTCCATGATGTCAAGAATGTCAAATCAAGAAGTTTTTGTGTTGTGAGGTTAGTTTAGAAAATTATTATTCAAATTTTATATATTTAACTGTTAAAACGATGGATATCCAACAAGAAGGCATTTTCAAAACAGATCCATCACCTTCTTCTGACGAAACAAAGAACAATGGCTCGCTTTCCAGAAAACTATTAATGTGTAAAAAAGAACAGGATGTATTTAGTGATACCCTTAATAATTTTGAAGCAATAGGAAATTTCGTAAATGTAGATGTAATTAAACAAGAAATGATCGAATATGAATTGCCTAAAATTGAACAAGATTCGGATTATATGTTTAAAATTGACCATGATTCAGTTATTGAAAACAAACATTTTTTTTCTACAACTATCAAAAAAGAACCCAAGGACCCTAGTGAAGTTGAATCCGCTGATATCGATATAAAGCAAGAGATTAGTGAACTTTTAACCACTCACTGTGATTTACCTACTTTGAAAAATGAAAGTATTGATACTCCCGACTATTATCTAGAGCCATGTAGCAGTAAATATGCTGGAAGGGTATCAAATCCATTAAAAAACACCACAAATGTTCCGAAGACAAAGAGGAGGCAGTACATGTGTCTCGTCTGCCAAAAATGTAAGTACTAATAAAAGTTTTGTCTATATCAAAGCTGAGTAAAATATATATAATATATATATATTTGAATTTGCTATTTTGTCTGGTTAATCTGTCACACTATTAATTTTATTTTTATTGTTTATATCCTGGAAATTACCAACAAAATATACTTTCTGAATTTTATGAAAATATCTAGGTATGCAATTTGACACAATATATTCTGATTTTAGTAATAGTTTGACCATGTTAATCACACTTTATTGCTATTTAAATTAAAAAAGCCTTTCTGCTGCTTTTCTGATTTGACTTGAAACCTATTTTAAAAACAAAGTTCAAATGGTGTGGATATCTGGTAGTGTGTCCATCCAATATGGCAAACCCTTAGAGTTTCCACAAGGTTCCTATATAGGACCATTATTGTTCTTACTACATATCAATGGTATTTAAAGATATTTTTTAATATAGTAATTTTATACCTTTTGCTGATGGCCTAAAGAATATGCTAATTATTAGGGTGTCAATAATTGTTATCTTTTATAAAAGTGATATTAATGCACTGCATGATTCGATTGGTCTCTGAAGATTTGTATGTCACTTAATATTAAAAAAAGTTACACAATTACTTACCTCTTTTGGTAGAGGAAGTAACAAGATTGTATTTGATTACTCAATGGCAGATTCAATTCTTAAAATTGTTAATGAGATAAATGTTGCTTAAATAAACATTTTTTTTTAATAATTCAAACTGCTTAATATGAACGAACACTTATTATTTCAGTTTACAGTAATTTAAATTACAAATTATTACATAAATATACATAATAACTTAAATATAAACAAGGTATCCTAATTACCTAACAGTGCAACTTATGTTCACTAGTAGCCTAACATTCAAAGTAATCAAGAACTTTTAAATTAGAAGACAAAACTTTTAATGGTCTAATTTTGAATATTCATTTTTTTTTCTCATTGCTAGAAATTAATTAAACCTTGTCTCCTGGTTGCATTATTGAAAGGAGAGGAAAATAAATAGCAATTCAGCACACAATAGCAAGTTAATATGCACTGTGTGTGTGCTTAATGACATTTATATATATTCTTAGAAAGAGGTTAATTAGATATAAATCACTTTTACTTAAAATAACCTGCAAATGATATAATATTAATAGTTAGAGAAGCAAATACTGAAAATGAATAAATTTTAGGATTAGAGGACATTATATTTATAAAAGATAAGTAATCAAAAAATTTGTTTCAACGTATTTGGAGGTCTTGCTATGTAATGATTTATTATTTTTTTGGATTATACTAATGTATTGAATCATTCATACTAAAAATTATACCTGGATTTTCGTGCTAAATATTGGTTTTTGTCATTTTGATAAAGTTATGTTTATCCGCAGAATCGCGCCATTTTAAAGACCTAAAAAACGTATGTGGAGGTCTTGCTATGTAATGATTTATTATTTTTTTGAATTATACTAATGTATTGAATCATTCATACTAAAAATTGTACCTGGATTTTCGTGCTAAATATTGGTTTTTATTATTTTGATAAAGTTATGTTTATCCGCGGAATCGCACCATTTTAAAGACCTAAAAAACGTATTTGGAGGTCTTGCTATGTAATGATTTATTATTTTTTTTGGATTATACTAATGTATTGAATCATTCATACTAAAAATTATATCTGGATTTTCGTGCTAAATATTGATTTTTGTCATTTTGATAAAGTAAGGTTTTTCGGCGGAACCGCGCTTTTCAAAAGACCTAAAAAACATAGTTGGAGATCTTGCTATGTGACGATTTATTATTTTTTAGAATTTCAATAATGTATTGAATCATTCATACTAAAAATTATACCTGGATTTTCGTGTTAAATATTGGTTTTTATCATTTTGATAAAGTTATGTTTATCCGCGGAATCACGCCATTTTAGAGACCTAAAAAACGTATTTGGCGGTCTTGTTATGTAATGAGTTATTATTTTTTTGGGTTATACTAATGTATTGAATCATTCATACTAAAAATTATACCTGGATTTTCGTGTTAAATATTGGTTTTTATCATTTTGATGAAGTTATGTTTATCCGCGGAATCGCGCCATTTTAGAGACCTAAAAAACGTATTTGGAGGTCTTGCTATGTAATGATTTATTATTTTTTTGAATTATACTAATGTATTGAATCATTCATACTAAAAATTAATACTTGAATTTTCGTGCTAAATATTGGTTTTTGTCATTTTGATAAAATAAGGTTTATCCGCGGAATCTTACATTTTTTAAAGACCTAAAAAATGTATTTAGAGATCTTGCTATTTGATAATTTATTATTTTTTTTATTGATACTTGTTTATTGAATCTTTGGTATAAAAATTGTATTTAGATTCTCGTGTTAAATGATTGTTTTTGTTGGTTTCATTGAGTAATATTTATCCGCGGAAACGCTTGACTTTAATGATCTAAAAACTACATTTAGATGCCTTGCTATTTAATGATTTTTTATTATTATTTTTATAGCTAGTGGTGTACTAAATTATTGGTATAAAAATTGTATTTGTAATCTCGTGCTAAATGTGTTTTTTTGGTCTTTTTGTTCTTATAGTCGTTTAACGACAAAACATCTGACTTTAAAAAGACCAAAAAAATATATTTTAAAACATTGCTCGACCATAATTTTTTGTTTATTCAATTAATAAAAATCTAATGAATATTTGATATAAAAATTATATTTATAATCGCATTTTAAATGTGGTTGTTTCGTCCCCGTCTTTGTGTAAGATT